TGGGGGGATTTGGGGTCACAGCATCCCTCCTGAGTTCCTATAGCCCAGCTGAGGGGATTTGGGGTCACAGCATCCCTCCCAGCGTCCTTCCCAGTGTCCCTGTAACCCATCCGATGGGATTTGGGATGGCCCTGTCCCTCCTTATAACCCGCTTTGGGAGCATTTGGGGTCACGCTGTGCATTCCGAGGCTCCCATGACCCGCTTGGAGGCGATCTGGGCTCGCAGCTCCCATCCTGCAGGCATTCTGTGCAGCCCAGGACCCCCCACACCCCAATTACCCCCTCCAGGACTTTGAGGAGGACCCCCGCGCGCCCCGCGGCCACAGGAGATCCTTGAGCCGTGGTTCCCACCCTGGAGCCCCTCGGGGAAGCACCGATGAGCGGTGAGCTCCGCACGAGAGCCTCAGGTTTGCTTTGGTTTCCTGGTCGGAGGGTTGGGGTCCCAGCACCAACTCCCACCCCGCAGCCCCCCAGGCGTGGTGCCCACACCGCTGGCGGAGGCGAGCCGCGCCATGGCTGGGGACACAACGCTGAGCGAGAACTACGCCTTCGCCGGCGTTTACCACGTCTTCGACCAGCACACAGACAGCGCCGGTAATGGGGAGCACTGGGAACGAATCTGGGGGGGTCGCTGGGGTGGCGGGCGCCCGGCTGATGCTGTTTGCAGTGCCCAAGGTGCAGTTTGCCCACGATGACCGCCACCTGCTGGCCTGCTGCTCTCTGGACGGCACCATTTCGGTGTGCCGCTTGGCTCCAGGGCCGCCGGCGGTGCTGCGGGTGCTGCGGGGCCACGACGGCGGCGTGGCGGATTTCGCCTGGTCGCTTTCCAACGACGTCCTCGTGTCGGCTTCGTTGGACGGGACGCTGCGCCTCTGGGCGCCCAACGACGGCCGCTGCATCCGCCGCGTGCCCGACCCCGATGGCGCCGCGCTGCTCTGCTGCGCCTTCCAGCCGCTCAACAACAACCTCACCGTGGTGAGTGCTGCCATCGCCATGGCCTGGCCCCGGCCCGCCGCTGTCACCGTGTCCTGTCACCTCTTCCCGTACCTGTTGCCGCATCCCCACTCTGTCCCCATCACCGCATCCGTGTTTCCCACCCCCCTTCCAGCATCCTGTCATTGTGCCCCATCGCAGCCATCCCACGTCGCCTCATCCCATCCCTATCCCTGTCCCCATCCCCTGTGCCCATCGCATCCCTGTGTCCCATCCCCCTTCCTGCGTCCTATCCTCATTCCCCGTCACAGCCCTCATCCCCACGCTGTGTCTCATCCCACCCCACAGGTGGGCAGCGCCCGGCACATGGTGCGAGTGGTGAACATCTCCACGGGGAAAGCAGCCCGTGGCGGCGCAGGGCGGCTGCCTGGCCGGGTGCTGGCGCTGTGCTTCGATGCCCCGGGCCGCGTGCTTTGGGCCGGTGACGACCGCGGCTCCATCTCGTCCTTCCTCTGCGACCCCGGCACCGGTACGTGGGGTGGCGCTGTGGGGCGGCGCCGTGGGGCGGAGCGGAGCCCTTCTCACCGCGTTCCCCCCCCCCACAGGGCGGCTGACCAAAGCCTCCCGCGTGGTGGTGCAGGCGGGCGGATCCATCACCTCGCTGTCAGCCCGCGCCTGGGCCAGCCGCGAGGCGCCCGATCCCTCCCTGCTGGTCAACGCCTGCCCTGACCGCCTGCTGCTCTTCCGGTAGGGGGCGCTACGGGGAGGGGGGAGGGGGCAATAATCACCTCCTGAGAGCTGGCCGTGGGGATGGGGCACCCGTGGGGTCCCGTGGGACAGGGCTGTAGGAAGCCTACAGGGCTGGGAAGGGAGACGTGTGGGGTGTGTGGGGCCGGACCCCCATTGCTGACGTTTGTCCCCGTGCAGCGTGGTGGAGGAGGAGGGCTCAGGAGCGCCAGGGCTGCGCCTCCGCCGCAGCTTCCCTACGCGGCACCGGGAGCAACCGCTGCGCAGCTGCTTCTGCCCACTGATGTCCTTCCGCCAGGGCGCCTGCGTGGGTTCGTAGCGGGCAATAAGGAGGGAAAGGGGGCAGAGCCACAGGGCCGCCCCTGACCTTATTTTCCCCCTTCTCCGCTCCCAGTGACGGGCAGCGAAGACGCCTGCGTGCATTTCTTCGACGTGGGCCGCTCGGCCCGTGCCACCGTCAACACCCTGCAGGGCCATGGGCACGCCGTGCTGGCCGTGGCCTTTAACTGCGACGAGAGCCTGCTGGCCTCCAGCGACGCCGCTGGAACCGTCATCGTCTGGCGCCGCCAGCACGCGTGATGTAACCCCCCTCCCCTATTTCTGTCCCCCCCCCATGGTATGGCACAGACCCCCTGCTGCATTCAACACGTGTGTTTGCAACTCCCTGCTGTGAATTTGGGGTCAGAAGAGGTACTTGCGGCAGGCGGCGGCCCCGCATTTGCATTCAATGCGGCCCCGGGAACGGGGGGAGCTGCTCAGGCCACCCCCGGCCAGTCCAAAGTTGGAGTCCATGCGGGTGCTCTCTGCATCCACCGGATCCACTGTGGGGAGAAGGAAGGCAATAAGAGAAGGGCTGCAGGGGGGGGAAGCTGGAGATGCAACCCAGCAGCAGCAGCGTGGGGCAGGGACAGACCCTGGGGGGTGGGAGGCTGTGCTGTGGGACTGGGACGGACCTCAGGGCATCACAGGACCCCAAAGCACCACGGGACCCCCACAAACAGCCCAGAACGCTGCTGTGGGACGCCCAGGGAGGGTTGGGGGCAGGGGAGGGGGGGTGTTGGCCCCCACTATGGGTGCCCACCGTGCATGTTGTAGTCGAAGGTGAGCTCCTCGCCGGCGCGGATGGGCCGGGTGGCAAAGAGGGCGATGCGGGGCAGGCGCTCGTCCAGGTTCTCAATGAAGACGTTGTAGACT